ATATTGGATCTAATGTAACCAGTCGTGGACTCCCAGTTTAGTTCAGTTTTACTGATGAAACGATGCAGACGCAGTTTAAATCTTAGACTTTAATAACACGAATAGAAAAGGCTTCTCTTTTTCAGGGGGTCATTCACCTGCAGGTTATACAGTAAGTACTCCGGATGACAACTTTGTTTTAGTTTGTGATCACAAAAAAAATATTTTCTTTCTTGTTTATTGGTAAAGTGTGTAAAAAGTACTCTTTTTTTTTTGGCTCTCATGGGCAATGAGTGTCATAAATTAATAATTTTGACTAATTTCTATGGATTTAATTGAATGAATATTTAATTTAATTTAATTTTTATTATTTATGAAACTGGAGATTTCTCCGGTACGAAGGTGTCGAGTTAAAAAAAGAAAAAGAAAAGAGTTAAATTAAGGAATGGCCTTAGTGATGAGGTAAAAACTGAACGTTTAGTATTTGGGTTTAAGATGATGTACATTCTACACTAATTATAGGTCATGAATTAAAGTAATTTATATGTGATGCTTGTGAAGTCTTTAGTGAGTTTATTTTGATCTGACATGAGGATTTCTTTATTATTTTTTAATTTGACATAACAAGGATGTAAACAAGCTGTCTCTCCGTGCATGCGTGGGTTTTCTCCGGGTACTCCAGTTTCCTCCCACAGACCAAAAACATGCATGTTAGGCTGACTGGTAACTCTAAATTGTCTCTTGGTGTGAGTGAGAGAGTGAATGGTTGTTTGTCTCGTTTGTCTCTGTGTGGTCCTGTGATGGACTGGAGACCTGTCCATGGTGTCCCCCACCTCTCACACAGCGACTGCTGAATATGGGCACCAGTGACCCCCGTGACCCAGAATGGAAGAAGCAGGTAAAGATAATAGATGGATGGAAATTGCACTATCACTGTGGCTGTTTGTCACGGCCGGTGTGGGGTTGGATCCAGATGCAGACACACATGGGAGCTCAAATGAAATAAAAATGTATATTTTATAAACAAAACGAAAAGCTGATGTGGTGGCAAAAAAAAAAATTACAACTGAGAACAACAAAGGTTAAAATCATGTCATCTGGACAAATTTACAACTGGGAGAACATAGAAGCACGAGGAGAACGTGAGCAGGTAAAACCAATACAATGCTGGTGAGGTGGTGACAAGAGACTGGCTTTGTAGCGAACTGAGTGAGGAAAGTGGAAACACCTGAAACTGACGGCTGATAGCTGGCAGGTGAGAGTGGCAGGCAGGACTGGAAAACCACCGAGAGCTGACTGAGGGCAGAAGGGACCTGAGACTGGAAACACTGAAACAAGGATTGATGTAAAAACAGAGACACAAATAGATAAGGGTCTAAAGTAACCAGGAGAAAACATAAGAAACATAAACTCACAAAGTGAACCTAGATCAGGGGTCTGCAACCTTTACAATCAAAAGAGCCATTTCTGCCCCTTTGTTCACTAAGTTAAACGTGTCCGGAGCCACAATACCTGCTACAACTGGGATTCTCAACTGGTGGCCCACAGACCACTTTAAGTTTGTTGGAGGGCACTTTTCTAGATAGTAGGGTTGATTTTATAAAACTAAAAATATCTAATGATTTTTAACATTTATTGATATTTTTACACTCAGACAAAATAAAAGATGAGATTCTTGTAAAGAAAGAAAAAAATATATAGTTTTTGAAAGTTTCTAAAACTAAAATAATAAACTATGCATTCTTATGAGATTTTTTTTTTAAATTGTATAAAAATGACGTGTCCTACTATGAAAAAATAAAGTGTAAAGTGAAAGTGAGTATATTTTACTCCTTGTAATGTTTCTAGTATTCATATATTTTCATAATAATTTACAGGAAAACTGCTTAAACTAGCTCTTTTAGTTGTTGTTAGAACAACCAGTAAAATTCAGTTTGATGTCAGTTTTGGTCAAAGCTTGAAAGAGCCGCTGCAGAGGGACCACAGAGCCGCATGTGGCTCCAGAGCCGCATGTTGCAGACCCCTGATAAAATAAACTCAAAGAAACACAGAAAAAATGCACAGGCATGACACTTTTAAGAGATTACTGTTAAGATTTTCCTGTTTTTGTTTTTTCTTCTTTTGGCTGTTCCCTTCTTCAGGGGTCACCACAGCAAATCAGTTCACACGAAGACTTGGCAAACTGTTTTTACACCAGATCTCCTTCCTGACTCAACCACTGACCACCGAGCTACCGCAGCCCTTTGTGTGGAGCAGAGAGCTGCTATCTAGGACGCCCGGGGAAGCAGATGGTGGGGGTTAAGGGCCTTGCTCAAGGGCCCAGAGTGGAGCAAATGAGTGTGGAGACAGGTGTGGGTGTTTCACCTTTCTCACCCACGTTTTAATGTTGTTGGCCCGGGGAGTTGAACCGGTGACCTTCTGATCACAGGCTCGCCTTCTCTAACCTCTGTGTCACCATTCCCCTATACAATGACAAAAAGGCTTCTTCTTCTTCTTCTTCTGTAAATAAAGTTTTGTTAAAAATCAAATATTTTTCTTCTTCATTCACGCATCTTTATATTTGTTTTAATTCAATGTATTTTTTTATTTAATTTGTTTAAAGTAGCCTCTCAAACACTCCTCTAACTCTCGTCATACATTCTTTGACACAAAACAAACGTGTTATTATAATTATCCATATTGTGATTTTTTTATATGATTAATTTCTTAAAACATCATGAATTTATGTTTTGATGAAAGAGACAAACCCTCCTGCAGTTATTGAGTTTTGAATTTTGCTTTAAGGATTTTATGAAAAAATGGAACCAGCAAGATTTATTCCAATCATGGCTAACATTTCTGGGGATTTTCCATGATTTTTGAAAAATCTAACTTTAAAGCTTTAACAGGTCAAGGGTAAAAATACATCATGATCTATATTAAACTTTACTTGTGGAAATATTCTCCTGCTGAGGAGATGATGATTTCAGTTTCCTCAACAAAACACACAGAATGTTCAGGATAATTATTTTGGTTGCTAAAATTTCTCACTTTGTGACATTTATGACATTTTGTGGTACAAAACCCCAAGATTTATTGTTAATAAGTGCAACAAACATATTTTACGTTTGTGTGTACTTCACAGTTTTTATGAGATTTAGCTGAATTATAATGGAGGAATTATTTTAATTGCAAAATAATAATGCTATTTTACAATAGATGTTTGTTTTTTTTGTATGCTGTAGACAATTAATGTAGAGAGACATCTGCACACTGAACATTTCTATCATATTTCTATCTGAGCGCTGACAGAATGTGCATGAACTAGGCTTAATTTATCAAAACCTACCTTGTCTGTCTGTTAGTAAAATATCTCATGGATCCTTTGATGGGATTTAGTCAAAGTTTTAGAAAACAGTGTTTGGGTGCACTTCTACAAGTGATTAACTTTAGCAACCAACTAAATTCAAAACGGCGGCCAAGTGACCTTAAAAAATACAAAAATGGTTTCAATTCAATAATTTTTACAGATATTGTGCTAAATTCTTGTGTGGTGGTAGCTGAGGGTCGTACACAGCACACACTTGAAGGGTTTCTTGTTGTGACAGACATTTGCCTAAAAATTTTGCATTAACTGTAAAATCCAAGCTTGATGCATGTTAGCAAAATATGTCTTAATGCACTGGACATATTTCAATGAAACTCTGAGAAAGTAACTGGATGTACGATTACGACAGATTAATTTTAGGAGTCAATCCAATTTAAGATGGCTGCTATAGCTACTTCATATTCACAACACAAAAGATTGTTTTAAGTCATTTAACCAAAGTCTAACGTGGTAGTAGTTGAGATTCATTCAATTCAATTCAGTTTATTTATAAAGCGCCAAATCACAACAAAGTTGTCTCAGGGCACTTTACAGGAACATTCACATAAAAGCCAATTAGTAAAGTTCTCTATCTAAGGAATCCAGTAGACAAGTTGAATCTTGGCTTCGTTGCAGTCTCCCATCCTGAGCAAGCACAGTGGTAACAGTGGAAAGAAAAAACTCCCTTTTAACAGGAAGAAACCTCCAACAGAACCAGGCTCAGGACAAGCGGCCATCTGCTTTGACCGAATGGTTTGAGAGGACAGGAAGGAGAGACAGACGAACACAGAATAGTAGGTCCAAGTATAGGTCCAGGTGTATCTGAAAGACAAAAAAACACGTTAAGGATAGAAAAAATAATTACAAACACAAAACAGATTGAGCAGAGTAAGTAAATACAGTAGTAGAGTGAAAAGTGTGGTCAGTTTGTCCTCCAGCAGTCTAAGCCTACAGCAGCATAACTAAGGGACAGCTCAGGAAACACAAGCCGACCCTAACTATAGGATTTAGCAAAAAGGAAAGTCTTAAGTCCAGTTTTAAAACTGGATAATGTGTCAGCCTCACAGACAGAGACTGGAAGTTGGGTCCACAAGAGAGGAACCTGATAACTGAAAGATCTGCCTCCCATTCTGTTTTTATAAATTCTAGGAACCACAAGTAAACCTGCAGCCTGAGAGCTAAGTGCTCTGTTAGGAAAATATGGAACAATAAGATCTGTAATATAAGATGGAGCCAGGTTGTTGAGAGCTTTGTAGGTTAGAAGTAAGATTTTGAATTCTATTCTGGATTTGACAGGGAGCCAATGGAGAGAAACTAAAACTGGAGAGATATGATCTCTCCCACTAACTCCAGTTAAGACTCTGGCAGCAGCATTTTGGATCAACTGAAGACGTTTTAAAGAAGTATTTGGACACCCAGATAATAAACCTTTGCAATAGTCCAGTCTAGATGTGACAAATACATGGACCAGTTTTTTCTGCATCATTTTTAGATAAGATGTTTCTAATTTTAGTGATATTACGCAGGTGGAAGAAGGTGGTTCTAGTAACGTTTTTGAGTGGGGAGTAAAAGACATGTCCTGCTCAAAAATAACATCAAGATTTTTAACATTAGAGCTGGAGGACAGATTAATGCCATCTAAGGAGGGAGAAAGACTGAAAAAATAATTCCTAAGGTGCTCAGGTCCAAAAACCAAAACCTCAGTCTTGTCTGTGTTCAGCAGGAGAAAATTAAAGGTCATCCAGGTTTTTATGTCTTTAAGACATGCTTGTAGTTCTAGAATTGTGCTGCTCAAGGTGGCTGCATGTTGGAACAGCTCTGTGACTTTCATTCTGAGATTTTGCTTTTGGAAACTTTTAATTCCTCTTTTTCTGGATGTAAATCATAATTTTTGGATGATTGTTTCCTCTGGTATCAGATGCTGTGCAGCTGGAAAGACTTTTACTGAAACTTTTTTTTAGTTTTGGACATTTGTTATGATGCGTAACCATGACAACAAGGCAGTTTTCTACAACCAGCAGCTGATTAACATCTCAAAAGCTCAAATAATATCTCAACCACAGCCCCAAATCTCAAATGATTTGAAAGGATGTTCTGTGGACGCATTCTCATCTACCTGCCAGCTGTGCTCGAGTGCCTGACCACTGAGATCCTGGAAGCAGGAAACACGGCTCATGACAGTGGAAGGACAGGATCGTCCCTTGGCACCTACAGCTGGTTTCTACAGTGACGAGGAGCTCGGCAGACTGCTGGGAGGAGTGGCCATCGCTCTGGGAGGAGTTCTGCCTGGCATTTTGGCGGTTCTACAGCCCGGGGGAACTGAGAGGCCAGCCGAGTCTGGGTGGATGGATTGGACGGCATCCAGTTTCTTAGGATCCACTGTGGGATGGACCTTTACAAGAGATCCTTCCTGCCTACAGCCATCAGTATCTATAACATCTCTTAATGAAATGAGGATAACGAGTTACAACAACAAATAATTTCCCTTTGGGATTAATAAAGTATTTTTGAATTGAATTGAATTGAATTGTAGTCTAAGTAGATGATTGGATTCATTGGGTTTAATGGACAAATGTAATTGTGTGTCATCAGCATAACAATGAAAATTTATCCCATGCTGTTTAATAATTTTACCTAATGGAAGCATATATAAAGTAAAGAGTATTAGCCCAAGCACTGAGACCTGAGGAACTCCATGACTAACTTTGGTGTATGAAGAAGATTTATTATTTACATTTACAAACTGGAATCTATCAGATAGATATTGATATTCACAAGACAAGCTCTGAACAGTACCTTTTTTGAAACTGCATGAGATTTAATTTAAAGTTATTTTTAATGTAGGACCAAATGGCTACAGCTTGATTTGCAGATGATATGCATTCATTTAGGCTTTTAATTGTATTTGTGTTGCAGCATCAAGCAAAGGGAAACAATTTAGGCAGCAGAAAAATAAAAAAATAAAAAACTGAAGGGAAGTGTTTAGGAGGGAATAGTTTTTTTCTGGATGTGAGGAGTGTCCATTAGCCCTAAGGCTAGCAGCCCCCCCATCGTCTCTCAACTTTCTCTGCCTCAGTCCTTCTCTCCCCACTCCATGCAATTTACGCCTTGAACCTGTGTAATTACAGTGCCAACAGCAGCAGCCATCAGGTTCAGGTGGGGTGAGGCACAGACATGCCCCGTCACCTCAAGAGCCGGGGTTCACCAGCTTTACTGCTGCAATTATCTTTTCACCGTAATCTCCTTCACCCTGGCTCTATAGGAACATATTTGTGTGACAACAGGAAACCTGCTGCAAAACACAAGCCTATTCTTTCCCACAAGAAGACATAATATTTATTGAGAAAGTACATTTAGCATATTAAATTATCTTTTGTTGACTGGTTTTTGCTATTATCATTAAGCTGTGGCCGTTCTGTTAAAATCAAAGGCCTAGCATTCCTAAAAGAAATGCATATCACCTACAGCTGTTCATGTCAGTGTTCAAGACTAAGATCATCTAGCGTTGTACCCATTTCAGTCCATCCATTCATCCATCCATCCATCCATCCGTCCATCCATCCATCCATCCATCCATCCATCCATCCATCCATCCATCCAT